TCGCGCCGCGGCGTGACGTTCACAACCGAGACCACGACCGCCGCCGCCGCTGCTACTCGGCCTTCGACCCCACGCTTATTAGATCTCTCGCCATCCCCAGAGCGCCACACATCGCGCCAAATCGAAACGCCGCCGTCGCGCCGCGGCGTGACGTTCACAACCGAGACCACGTACACGTTTCACGTGGCACACGGAGGCAGCGCCGTACCGAATAGGTCAGGGCCTCCCATCGGACTCGCCAAGTCGCACTTCCATGTCGCGTGTGCCGCCATTCGCCCTGACCGCCGACGTCATCGCCGTGCCGTGCAAAAGTTCGATCCCTCGGAACGCGTCGCACTTCTCAAAGCCGCCGCGTACCACGAGTCTGAGATTGCTGCGTTTTGCGTGGATGCGTTCGCTGTGCGAAAGTCGCGCCAAGATGACGCGATAGACTTCATGGAAGAGCGTACGCGGCAGAAGAAACGCCGAGCCGTGCGCATGCTTGTCAAGATCAGTGGCGAGGTCAGCGACCAAGGAAGTACCGACGACATGGGTAGTACCTCCAAACGACAATGTGTGGCTGTACAAGGCTGCTAGTGCTGCCACGTCACACTGCGTTTTCACGATTGGATCTCCATTATTGCCTATTTATTACTAGTACATAATACACTGTTTTCGTTTCAATGTCATTCGTAGCTTGATAACTCTGTCACAGGGATCCCTAATTGCTTCTACAGTTCGTACATACATATATATATACAGGCTTCTTCGATACACATCCATGTCCACTATTACTACTCTTTACATCCATCTCTTGGGGTTTCGGGGTGCTAGTTACATATTTGTTACTACATACTAGTAGTACTAGTATTGGGTGTTCTACTCAAACATTTCCTTCATATTCGATATAAAACTGAGTTGAAGAGGTTTCTTTGATAACGTTACTGCAATGAATCAATCAATATTTTTAGGGAATCACCATTCTTTATAGCCAATCATACTCCTTTGCTCGATTAGTTGGCGATTTCATCAATTCCCCAAAATAGGCAAATTTGACTGAAAGTACAATACAGATTGCCTACTTCAAAAGGTCATTTATTTAGCTTGAAAAGTTGCCCAACTACTCTTAGTTGATTTGTCAGATCGGAAATGAATGTGCCAGTCCAACTGCCAGAATGGACAAACCTCGGACATTTAGATAACTTTTCAAAATATACTACTACGTACTCGTTTTCGGGGTGCTAGTCTATTATGATAGTATTGTGCTTTTACCCAAAATTTGGCTGACTTTTATACTGATTCTTTGCCAAATCTATCGATCGAGTGTCCTGAGGTGATCGGTATTACACTGATTGGAGACACACACTAATTTGACGTAGAGGATGGTTTCCTGCAATCTGATTGGCTCAATTCTCGCCTTTAGTAGTAGAGCATATTTCATATATTAATACTACAGTATATATGCCCAAACATAAAATATATGTTTTTTCAAATCGGACGATATGGAAGTAGCTGATGTACTGTACGTACTATTGACAACCACACACCCAACGCACATGTTTTGATACTGTAGTTTGATAAAACATAACTATAATAATACTACTACCTTCGTATGTAGTAATACTAGCTCACTCCTATCTATTTCTGTATCACAACTATATACTACATAGTATACATATATGGATCTGTCGTTTGCATCGTACTACTTACTATACGTACAGTACCTACGTACCATTAATACCACATAATACTTGTAATCCATAGTACCGTTATGCATGTACTACTACATACATATACAGGTAGGTATTGCTACTATAGCGTACAAGTCTACTTGCTTCTTCTTCCTACTGCCGATACCGCCGCAGCCAGTCGCGGAGGTCATTCATTTGCGATCGAAAGTACCCCAGTTGGTCAAAGTACTTTCTCTGGCCTTCTTGAGCCATCCTCTGCCGCGCATATGGAGTCATGGCTAACACTTGGTCCATTCCGGCGCAAATGGCGCTGGGTTCGACGTCCCATTCAGTTCCATCGCCCATCATCACGCGGCCGTTCGTCCCCCGTGCCGACGCGCCGATGAGCACGCCAGACGACTCATCGACGAACTCATTCATGGGCGCGGCATTCGTAGTCACGACCAACGCCCCCGCCGCCCGCGCTTGGTTGATGTAATGGCCAAAGCTACAAGATTCAAATATATATCATTCGTAAGAGGCACACTGGAATAATAGATTATTCGAATATATATAGACATATATCATTCGTAAGAGGCAACTGGAGTAATAGATTCGATATTCTTCACTACATTCGTAGACTAACTTGGTCATACGTTTGTACCGACATACTACACTTCAACACAGGGGAATATGTATATATATATATATATATTCATTATCGCAATATCCTACAGAATATAATAAACTTTGAAACTTGATAATATAACGCAGGATCCATCTATCCTCCAAATCATATAAAAACACTGTTTGAATCTATATATAACGTTATACGAAAAATCATGAAATAAACAATAAAAAGCGTTTACCCTTCCATCGTACTCGGGCACAGAATCACGCTGGCTTCGGCCATGAGCTTGCCAAACGCGGCAGGGTCAATGTCTTCGCCCAGGTGGTACGCCAAATTCGACGGCGTTTTATCCCGAAAATGCGTCCAATACGTGCGATTGGACAGTTCGTCCTTGGAATACACGTTTAAATACGGGAATGTTGGTCGCTCGTTCCAACAGTCGAGGATTTTCGGCGTATTTTTCTGCCAACTGTGGCCATTCGCGTGAAAAACGCGCAAATTCGTAAAGTCCTTGGGGCGAATCGAGCCAAAGGTAGATGGAGCCGCCTTGGACTGGGCGCGGGCTAGCGCGGTGGGGTCGCTCGATGTGTGCTGAGTGTACCAGACCTTTGAATATCTCGGGTTATTACCTTCCCGAGCATACCTATGTACGATCGATGCATGTTTTAACATGGGAATTTTAATATTGTTCAGTACAGGAGGACAACAATATATATACATATACACAATATATATACATATACATATATATATATATTGTGAAATCGATTCGAAACTGAAGCCGTCAATGTGTTCGGAGAAAATCGATTCAAGCACCGCCTGAGCAGCCATTCAAATCACGCCATGTCGAATTTCGGCCAATCCCAACGTTGTTTGACATTGGGAAAACCCACATATTGAGTATGTACTAATCGTTGTATAGTATAGTGTGTCCAAGATGAAATAGGAGCAAAAGAGATGGGCAAAATGACTCTCTCAAGTCCAAATATACTATATGTGAGTTTATCTAACCTAAACTGGAGAGAGAGTCATGGAGAATGAATAATCGTCGACACAATCAATTATGTACACAAGATTACACGGCTGAAGTAGTATCGAGCCAATCAGATTGCAGGAAACCATCATCAACGTCGAATTAGTGTAAGATATGAATTAGTGTGATTCTTCCAAACACCTGTGTACTTACAAAACGAAAGTCAGGATAAAGAATCGATCGATTTGGCGAAAATCAGCACAGAAAGAATGTATCCACATTTCGAGTAAAATAATATAATATATTTATAATATATATATGTACCAAGCAGTGATGCGGCGATGGGCGTCTTGTGTTTTGGCCAAGACGATGTCGGCGCGGTGGTAGTGGGCTGGTGTGAGCTCGTACATTTCAATATTGGGCATCATTATGACTGTCTTATTGGGGGGAAACGTCGGACGAGTATGCAATCCTTCCCAAAAGTGATTCAGGAACAAGATGGCCGAGTGCGGACACAAGTCAAAGTACGTCTGGACGCGGCCTACATGCAAGCAATATGAGAGACACATGATGATGGAGGATGGAGGAGGAGGGTTGGCTGTACTGTGTGTACTGTACCGTCAAGCGTAAACTCGAGGTCAAACACCCACAGGGGCAACGATCGAGTGTGCAAGTACTTGACGTACACCATCGCATCTTCGCAGTACCCGTGTCCGTGTAAATGATCGGGCAGGAGAACGTCCACTTCGGGACACCGCGCGAGTTCCGCGAGCAAGTCGGCTAATGGCGCGTCCTTGGATAGAAGATGCGCTGCGCGGGATTCCTTTGGACTGTTGTACGTCCATGGAATGATCGAGTTGTTCTCGTGCAGACACAGGTCGTTCAAGTGATTCAGGTGCAACAGGTCGGGCTCGAAGTCGGCGTAGTTGTTGGCCGGTCGACGAAAGATGCCGCCACCGCGGGAGAGACCCACCACGGTGACAAGCACTTGGACGCCCATGAGCACTCCCATGCATCCGAGGAGCATCCATCGAGGGCGACGCCACCATCTACTTGAAGAAAGATTCCTATGTGACGCTGCACCTTCCTTCGCCAAGCTCATTGCTCGCCGTATTTTTTACGTAACGTAAACGGCCAATTCTTGCCCCCGGACCAATTGTTGCCCTTTTTCATTTATTTATATAATTATATACAAAAAAAACAATACTGCTACAGAAGCTGATTTAAAAATGCGTGCCCAACACTCACACTCCGACTGTATACTGAAATCAAGTCTAAAACGTTTGCGCTTGTTGGATCATAACTTCGCTAAAAATACTCCGAATCCAGAAACATATGATTTGTTGTCGCCACGATCGAGGTTGAGCAGTATACCCTTGCCGTGTGAAGTTTATCCTGAAACGCTGTGTGTGTCCAAGACATTCACTCAATCCGCCATGAGTTTCAGTTGCTAACAGCGAGATCTCATAGAAGAATACGAACGGTCTAGAGCATTTGGGTTTGAATAGAATATTGATTTTTGCATCGTTATTTATTTTTCTCTTCATTTTAACGAACGTTTAAACTTGTGCCTATTCAGTTCACCACCCTTATGTGACGAAATTCTCTATTTTCACGCCAAGCGCTTACAGATTATTAAATCGAAGTACTACTCTGGTCCACAATGACTGTGCCAAAGTTTAGACTTGGATATAGTATAGGGAGCGGTTAAAGAATATCTTGAAAATTGTATTGGATTCTGAAAACGCATAACTGAGTCGGCAAATAGAATTGTATTTTTATTCAACGACGAAAACTACTCATTCAAGAGAATTGACCAAGCCCTCAAGGTGAATTTCTTCGCCCAGAAGACAGCTCAAGTGAACTAAGGCCTCTTCATACGTCGTCGAGTTGCATTCAACAGTGAAAGAGGACAAGTTCTTAATAGTCGTGTCCTTATTCATGTGTGGAAGCTTATAGTCGTTGCTGCCTTG